TTATTTATAGTAATAATGGAAGATAGAAAAAAAAGAATAATAAAAAATATTCTTCTCTCATTATTGATACATAATAAATATGAAAGATTTTTTACTAATCATTTTAAATTAAATAGAAATTAATTCTAAGGGTAATTGTAAAGATAATTCAAAATCTAATGAAGTTTTATTGAAGATATATTAGATTTAGAAATTTTGTTCAAAACTTTCTAATTCTTTCTTTTTATCAATGATATATTATAGAAACATTTAGTATTAAGAAAACTTGATTCCTTAATACACATACACAGAGAAAAAGAAAGAGAGAGAGAGAGAGAGAGAGAGAGAGAGAGAGAGATGGCATTCCTTAAATTATAATAATTAATAACAATATAAAATAATAAAAAATCATTCTGTTTTCATTGTTGATGCATGTGAATCTAATTAACATTATTAGAAACGTTTACGTTTGGTAGAATGTAAAAAAAAAGTGTTTATACATCATTTTTTTCGAACTTCCCGACGTTCGAGACTAATTAAAACGGTGATTCTTTCTTATTAGCGGTGTGTGCATACGAGTAAAAATACTGAAGAATAAAAAAAAAAAAAACACGATATGCTTGTGATGGCTGGCAGTAAAGTTGTATTTATTAAAATAATGAATATGATTGGAAAATATGTACTAATTGAATTTATTCTTACCTTTTTAATAATTCATTACAATACACGCATATATTACACATACACACACACACACACACGCATATGCAATTATTATATATATATATATGCATTTATATTATATATATTTTATATATACATATGTATCTATATAAAAAGATCAAATAATTGCTTTCAAGGACAAGTAACCAATTGATCTTCCGTATTAAATGTCTGCACAACCGTAAGCCGACGAAATGTTTACTTACAATTATGATATAGGTAAATTAATCGTTTAAATCAATGTCCCGTGACTAGTCTCATGACTACTATTGCGCAAACATATTTTCCTTAATAACACGTGCGATAACCGTTTCAAGGTGACAATGATCTTTTTCAAAAAAAAAAAAAAAAAAAAAATAAAAAAAACCAGTTCTATCATGAGCCACGAACAAATATGGTAGACCTGGGATACTTATACGAATAATTATCGTTTCTCCTTCATCGCACTTGTTACTCCCACAATCTTTCTCCTCCTTTACTCCACCATCCTCCCTCCTTCATCCCTTCTCCCTCTCCCACCCCCCCAATCACCTCAACCGCCCACGCCATCATCCCCTCCCCGAACCCCAACCCAATAGAAATTATTCCTTTCTTAAAACTTTTTATAAGAATTCCAATGACGAGGAAAGAGAAACAAGAAAAACACAAAAAAAAAAAGAAAAAAACAAAAAAAGAAAAAAAGAAAAAGAAGAAAGAGAAAAAAAAGAGAGAGAAAAAAGAAAAAAGCAAAACACTACCGGTAGATCACTCGAAATATATAACGAAAGATATGGCGAAATGTGTGTGTTCATTTTTTTTTTTTTTTTTTTTTTACGATACTTAGAATTAAATATAATAAAAAGGAAAATAATGAAATGAAAGGAAATAAATATTAATCCTTTGTATCGTTGTCAGTCGATCACGTTGTTGTTATTAATTGATAGTGTTTATGCTTTAACATCGAAAAAATATGACAAGCTTTGGTTTTATGTAAATTCTACGAAAAATGTCAATTTCTAAAAAGTAAGATTAAAGAGCTACTAACTGGTATTAGTGCAATTTTGTTATCGGACGTGTACGACGTATGTTGGCTTCCTCGTTTTAATCCAGTACTTTCGTAGATAAATATTTAATTATCTTGCATTAATCTCTTATATGCATGTGATATGTAGACATAAGAAAAGATGTTACTTAAACCGAGATATAAACAGGAAGAGAGGGAAGGAGAGAGAGAGAGCGAGAGAAAGAGGTAGATAGATAGATAGATAGAGAGAGAGAGAGAATATTAATTTTTTAAACGAAACAACTTTTGATTATTATTATTACTATCATCGTCATCATCATCATCATCATCATCATCATCATCATCATCATCACTATTATTACTATTATTATTATTATTATTATTATCTTTATTATGGGTGAGAATTAAAATAAAAGGGAAAAAAAAAAGAGAAGACGAGAAAATGAAAGAACGCGTTTTATTGAATTTATTGTGACGGCGGGGGGGGATAGGGGGGAAAGAAGAAAAAGAAAAGAATGCATTCTATTGAGTTTATGGAAAAAGAAAGAAAAAAAAAATGAAGAGAGAGAGAGAGAGAGAAGAGAGAAAAAGGAGAAAGAAAATAGAAAAAAATGTTATTGAACCGAGAATTAAATACGCATTTTATGCATAAATAAATCTTATCGCGTGTATCATCGAGGTCTGTCCCTAACGTATATACGCGCCTTTAATAATCGGTTATTGACTGTAATTAATAATCAGTTTATTTCTGTTAAACGACTTAAGTATTGAATATACGTTCACGAGCGTACGTAATTGGTTATAGGTGTTTGAGTGTTGAAAAGCGCGTGACTTTGTCCCATGATCATTCTGTTCCATCACTGAATTATGAAGTTTTATGCCATATCACTGATGGCTATTAACAAAAGATTGCATTTCGATCGACGGATCGATCGATCAAAATTAATTTTCGCGTTAATCGATGTTGAAAATTTTTGAATTTTTTTCTTTTTTTCTTTTTTTTTTTTTCTTCTTCCTTCATAACTCATCCGCGTTATGGATTATGTTAACGATCGATAATAAATATTTTTTTCTCTTTTGTCATCGTCATTCTTATTTCTTCCTTTTGTTTTTTTAATAATTCAACGGCAATCGTTTTCATTTTTACAATTGTCCAAACTTATTCGCGTTTTATATATTAACGAATAAATATGTAAGTACATGACTAACATACGTGTCTACGTAAACTGATAAATATCGACTATCGAATAATTAACACAGCTATCCGTTGGTTTCTTTATGTAAATCGTATGTACATAATCACACACACACACACACACATATATTTATAAATACATATATATATATACACAGATGTATATATACAATATATATACTTATATATATATATATATATATATATATATATATATATAAATATATATACAAACAGACACGTACTAAATATCTTATATTATTATCACATTATCTTGTAATAAAAAATTCACGTTACAGGTTTATCTGTCCCTCCTTCTATCTCATCCTGCCTCTCACATATTCTTATTGTATATCCCTTATATCTCTTTATCAGATTGCATATACTGTGAATAATATAATGTTTATCATACTTCTCTAAATTTTGTTTATAATGTATATAAAGATTCCATTTATATATATGTGTGTGTGTGTGTGTGTATGTACTGTATGGATGTTTTGATTAACGATTCTCTTCTATAGAAAAGAAAAGAAAAAAAAAGAAAATAAATAAATAAAATAAAAAGAAAGTGAATTGAAAAGAAATGACGGAATGGTTGTTACGATTAATAAGTTTGTTTCTTCAAATGAACGAAATGGTTTGAAGTATTTGAGACAAGGAAAAAAAAAAAGAAACAAATAAATGCAATCGAAAAAATGTCGGAGTTAATATTGAACAATGTCTAATAGGATTAGAATAATTACATGAATTATTGCGCATCATTACGTTATCATAGTTTAATAATCGCTTACTTAGTTAACGTTATCTATCTTTTTCCATACCGATGAAATTAATAAAAAATTTCTAATCTCGATTCTTATCGAATTATACTTGAAATTATTATTTTTTTCATATTAAATAAAAAATAAATAAATAAATGCAATCGTATCGATCTCTACAGCGGATACGATCCATTGTAATTGTGATATATAATAGGAATCAAAAAGGAAAAAAACAGAACAAAAAAATAGAAGAAGAAAAGAAAAAAAGAGAAGAACAAAGTAAGGATTAATTTAATCGATAACATTATTACGGATTAATAACAAACATTGCATGTCATCGTTACAATTTTATTGCATTGTTTTGCGCTATCTTTAGTTTTTGCTTCTTACATTAATTTTATCGATTTGAAATTGATTTTCTTTTTTAAAAGGATTTATTTGTTTTAATTAGTGTCTAACATTTTCTCTGCATGCAAAAAAAGAAAGATCTACTCAAACTGTTACGATTATCGATACATTCATATAGATATTTACAAATATCGTAAACGCACACACACACACACACACACAATTACATGTGTATGTATATATATATATATATATCGAGTTGTCGAAATTTTCAGTATTTTGTTCAATATTATATTCAGCATTATATAAATAAATGATTTAACATAATATATAATATAATATATATATAATATAATATATATATTATATTATATATATAATATATTTAATTGGATTGATTATAATATAATTTATTATATTATATTATAATATATATTATATATTATTAATATATATATTATTATTAATTTATATTATATATTATTATATTATTTTATATTATAATATATATATATATATATGACATTATGATATGTATATATACAAAATGACATTATGACATATATATATATATATATATATATATATATATATATATATATATGTCATAATGTCATTTTGATCAATAATATATGAATTTTTAATTTCAAAAAGAAAATACTAGTTTTATTTATATAGAAATAAAATTTCAAATATATAGATATATATATATATATATATATATATATATATATATATATATGCCTGTGTGTTTCTGTTTGTGGATTATATCAACTACATATATAATATATGTACTAAAATATGAAATAACAATGTTAAAAAAATTAATTTCATTTTATATCATATTATATTTTATTAATCTTTTCTTTTCTTTTCTTCTGTTTAATTATTACCTTCAATATACTTATATCTATAAAGAATGATAATATTAGAGATTATATAGTAATAAAGATTTAATTTCTCTTTCTCTCTCCTTTTTTTCTTTTCTTTGTTTTTTTCTTTCTTAATTGAATTATTATCTCATTACAATTATGCTTATTTCATTCTCAATTATCTATATAACATTGTAGTGTCATTATTTCCTTTTATTGTCATTTACGATTAACAAAATCCTTCCTAAGCTTTTAATTTCTTCAAGATATATATATATATATATATATATATATATATATATGTATATATACCGTTTATTGTTCTTTCTTTGGCATGGTCAATCCATCGGGACTAACTGCTAGATAACACAAAATCCCTTTATTTTCAATCTTTCGTAAAGAGATATAAGCACAACCATCTGGCGTTTTTCTTGATACAATCGGTTCCAATGGACCGGCATTTGGTAGGTCCTTACATTTGCTAGATAAAAAGTTACACATTGATTCGGCCAACGGTGGTATCTCGTCTGTATCAGGTGGTGGATCAAGAAAAATCCCATGCAAACGACCACCCCGCGTCATTATCTTCAATAATTGTACATAATCGTTACGATTTTTAATTCCTTCGTCAGTTTCATCTGAAATTCCGGCGAGTCGACGACTCCATTCGACGATCCTAACACGATCTGTTGTATTATTTTTCTTTTATTTATCTATTTTTTTTTTAATTCTACTTTTTTTTTTTCTTTTTTTTTTTTGATAAAATATACCGAATTACATTGCATAGATATTATCTTTTTTTTTGTTTTCTAAACGATCTTCTAAATTTCTCCTATTTTAGATTTTGAATTTTTAAGGAATGACATAATTGTTTATTTCTTTCTATTTTTATAATATAATAATTATTAAAAATTTTATTTGAGGTTACCGTGAGGTGAATTGAAGTACGCTACTCTTTGTGCGATTTCTTTTAATGCTTCCTTAAATTCTGTATTATATACCTTTGTCATATTTTATTATTGTTTAATTGATATTAACGAGAGTTTTGATATTTATTAGAAAAATTATCGTATAAAAGTAAAAATTGATAGACGAAAGGACATAAAATTTGTAAGTAAATGAAAAGTGACAAATCGTTCTTCAATATTTGCGATAAATTATCGTTGTAGATATTGTTGGAGGAAAAACAAAAAAAGAAAGAAAAAAAATATACATATATATTCGAAATTAATTCATTATTACAAATATAAGTAATTATTATAAGATTAATATGAAATGAATATGAAAAGAAATGAAAAATGTATTAATTATTGAACATTGTTTTCTTAATAATTTATTTATAAAACAATGCATTTTGGCCATAATCAATTTTGTGATAATGTAAAATATTATTTATATTTAACATGTAAAACATTGAACTCACTCTAAAAGTAATTTAGCTTTACTTCCACTGATATCTTTATTAATATTGTGTCGCGATGCAAATTCATATTTAACGCTTGCAAAAAGAATGTCTGTTAAAAGAAATATTTGTGCTACGGCAAATGCCAATGTAACGCCAAAATAAAAATTTGCATTAGCTGATCTGGCATATATCCATTGATGCCAAACGATTGGCGCAAAACCAGTACAAACCAATATAAAACAACCAATTACAAATCCTTGTTGCATATCTATAATGAAAAAGTCATTGAATCATTAGCAATACATAGGAATTAAAAAGTTTAAAAAATTTTATAACTTACGTTGAAACAAATGCATCCAAAATGGTAACAATGATACATAAAATCCGACATCTCCTACACATGGATATGACTTAAATATAGTCATTATGGCTAAATAGGAGAATGCCAATAATACTGGCTCACGTCGTAATCTTAAAGCTAATGGTACTATGTACAACAAACTAACATTAATTTGAAATGAAGCTATGAAAAGTGATCTGAAATGTTCAAACATTTCTGTAAGGAAGTACCAATAGAGTCCAATGTTTGGACGTAAATCTGGTACCAATAAAATAAATCCAAAAATATTCCAAATGAAAGACCAACTGCCCATAATGTAATAACAAATACCAAGTAATAATGTGAACATAGAAAGAAATGTAATAATAATAATGATAATTGTAGATTTTACATTTTTCTCTGATTTATCATTACATATGTAAATAGCAATTGGTACTAAGAGCGATATAGGATAAAGATTTTGCAATGTTAATAAAGCTATAGAAATACAACTCCAAAAAATTGAATGTCGTATCATAGCTACTAATGCTATAGAATGCAATAAATTACTAAATACTGTAGTTGTGAATCCAACACAATTTAGTATTATATATGGATTGAATAAATAGGCCATTAAAACGTACAATGCTGAATCAGTTTCTGTAAAAGTACCATTAACTTTTTCTTGTGATACATCTTCTTTTTTATTTTCTTTCTTTGAACACTGCAATAAAAATGAATTGGATAAATTATTATCAATTATAATTAACCTAAATAAATTTAAAAGTATATATATTTTAAATAATTTTATATACACTTACCTGACTATTGGCATAACTATTACCTACATAAGCAAGGCACAATGATGTTATTAAATCAGCGACTACAAATAGGAGACAGAATGCCCACCATGGGAAATATCGTTGTATAATATCAAACACATATAGACATATAGGAGTTTCATGGAATAAATCACCCGAGTAAGGATCTATACCAAAATTGTGTAGATAAACTCCTTCGGTGACTAAAAAAAAAAAATAAAAAAAGAATTTATCAATTATAAGGTTAAAAGAAATAAGACAATTTTATAACTAATTTATCTAGCTTAAAAATATTGATAGATTTACAGAAGTTTGATAAATATAAAAAAAAAAGAAAGAAAAAAAAAAGAAAAAAATATGAATACGTAATAGTAATAACTTTAAATCAACCTCTTTTCCAAGAATTCAATGCTGTTGACACTTCTACACGTTCGCTAATGACTTTTTGATATTCAGAATTCATCAATAAAAATCTGACGGCAACCGCCAAAATAAAATTGGGTAACCATTTTGTCAACATTTTTTATAATCTTTAATCAATCATATCAGAGTTTTATACATCCTAACCCTTTTGTTCTCACTGATCCGACAATTAAATGATCAAGTAAACAGTACTCTGTGTGGGAAGACATTTACGTTTTAAGGTATCTATACAATTGTCACTTTCTGCGCATGCGCGCAAAATGACGCGCGAAATATGAATGTATATATATATATATTATGAAAAAGTATAATTAATGTTAATTCTCTTAAATGACATTTTATATAATTGTTACAATATTTAAATCTTTTTAATTTAATCAAATTATTATTAATAGATTTATACTTACCCTTTTCTATGTTACTGCATAATGTAATATAAAAAATATTCTAATATTCGTTTGAGGTTAGTATAAATATATCTTTTTAAATACATTCTTAGAATAAAGAATTTATTATAACATAACTGTCACTTAAGAAATGTACACGTTGTTTTTAAATGATTATTAGGTAATTGCTGTAGTCCTTACTGAACCGTGTAATGTAATAATATGTAGGAGCTATGTATCTTTGGTATTAAATATACATACAAGCCAGACGACGATGATGCTAACGCTTGTTGTGATTACGTCATTATAATATTGTATAAATACGATGATGAAATATTAAAAGGAAAAATTATGAAATCATTGATCATGAAAAGTTTGAATGATAATCGATTATTAATATCTTAGATTTTGAATTAGCTCTAATTTATGACATGTCGTAAGAATTCAAAAATCTTATCTCTCCTTCAATAACTTCTATAATTAAGAAAGTTGGACTTTCGACATATATCAACTATGTCAAATGCACGTGATGTAAATTATTATTAATTCGTAATTTCCAATTAAAAAATAAGAATTCCCTAATTTATACGTTGACGTGACACTGATAGCAACTTAATTAATATGACGTTTAAGTTTAACATTTAAATTAATCCTCTTACACAGTTATAATGTATATTATCGTTATTTACATTATTTCATTTTGCATTTTAACAACTTAATAAATAACGCTGAAATATATTTCAAGGTCTGCCTTATTTTTTCTTTCTTTCTCTTCTTTTTTTTTCTCTTTTTTTTTTCTTTTTTTTTCTTTTTTCTTTTTCCTTTTCATCGAAATAAATTCGAGCATGTGATTGTCCTTGTAAAAATAGCTGCGTACAAAATTAATATTAATTTTAATTCGAAACAAGCGGAAGCAATGATAATGTATATATATAATTATAATGAAAATTTATACATGTATATATATATATATACACGTACATATATATATATACATACATATATATACACATATATATATACATATACATACATATATATACATATATATATATACGTATATATATAATATAGATACACATTTATATATATATATACATATACATATATATACATGTATTATTTTGATATATATATATATATATATATATATATATATATATATCAAAATTAAGGTGCAAAAAGGATGCGTGAAATATATGAATTTGTAGGAACAGTGCGTGTTCGCGTAACTAACAATTAAGTAATATGGCGATTAATATTTAAAATGATACATTTGAAAGTTATTAGAGAGAAAAGAAAAAAAAATATGAATTCTATACAAAAGATCAGACTTAAATCATTTCTTTTCTAATGTTAAATGCATAAATAAATATATATATATATATATATATATATATATATATATATATATATATACATATATATTTATATATCCGTTCGATAAAATCTTAGCTAAAGTAGACATTGCAATTGATCGCATTTTTCCAAATATAAAACACACATTGCCCGATGCATCATATGCTTAAATCGCAGGTATACGGGATGACCGTAACTTAAAGTTACAACGCACATCAAGCACAAAGGTACATAGTACAAAATGTTGCTTATTTTTTTACGTATTCTTATCAACATATTTACATGAATCAGTCGAATAAATATATCTTTTCGTCGTTACACAATTATATTACGTTGCACGTAATTTAATCGAAGCAAAAAATTATTTCTTCGCTTTGACCTTTCTTCTTTTTTTATTTTTTGTTTTTTTTTTGTTTTGTTCAGTTTTTCTTTTTCCTATTTTTTTTTCTTTTTTTCCTTTTTTTTTCCTTTTTCCTCTTTTTGGCGACAAGGACAACAACGTTACAGGCATACAAAGATCTTTTTTTTCTTTTTTTTTTTCAAGAAAAAAAAAAAAAGAAAAAAAAAAGAAAAAGAAAAAAAGAAAAAGAATAAAGAAGCCATCTAATATGTAATCTTTAAAAATTCTAGGCACAAGTGCAATTATGTAATGTAATTTGAAGAAGTGACAACAACGTTTGACAATCAGTCCGTAAGATGATTTTCTTTTTTATAAAACGATAAAAGAAAAGAAAAAAGAAAGAAAAAAAAAAGAATGGTCATGTATGTAATATTAAATATAAATTTATTCAAATGGATGATATTTATCAATTCTCTTGATTCGTTTGGTTCTTCTTTTCTTTTCTTTTTTTTTTTTTTTTTTTTTTTTTTTTTTAACAATTGCATTTACACATTGTCATGACTACGTGCATTCCCTTTTTTTCGGGAGGGGGGAAAAAAATTAAAAAAAAAAATATAAAAAAAAAGGAATAAAAACGGAAAAATATATATAAATAAAAAAAGAAAAAATAAAAAACATAAACGGCGTGTTTCGTTCAAATAAACCTGTCAAACATATACAAATATTTATTAGCTACTAAAAATAATTACCGATTCTAGTATATGTATTGTACAAGTTCATTCTTTCGACACATTATATTATAACTAAATATATATTCATTAAGATAGAAAATGATAAGTTTAGTCATTTTTTTCTTTGTTTTTTTTTTCTTTTTTTTTTTTTTTCTTTTTAATTTAACTTTCTCCTAACGACCTAGGACAGTGTTTTCTTTTTTCTTTCTCTTTTTTTTCTTCTTTTCTTTTCTTTTCTTTTCTTTTCTTTTCTTTTCTTTTTCATTATCATAGTCCCTTAGTTTTCTTATATGTATGTATGTAAAACCAAAACATCATGATCTATTACAACAAATAAAAAATAATTGTACGAATAACAATATATTTTTTCTTGTGTTTTTCCATTTTGTTTGTTACGTACTATTATTTTGAAAATCTAAAGTATTTGGAGTAGAATTTACGTCCATCTGTTTACATTAAGATTTTTTTTGCTTTTTTTTTTGTTTTTTTTTTGCTTTTTTTTTTTTTTCTTTTTCTTTCAAATCGGTCATCGTCGCCGATGATTTTATCTCTCTTTTTTTTCTTTTCTTTTTTTTTTTTTTGTTAAGGGACTAATACATAACTTTCTTTATACATATATCACAGAATTGAATAATTTCACGTTTGAATGATTCAAAATGATTTCCCTTGTTTCGTCCTCGTGTTGTTGTAGTATTTTATTTTTTGCCTTAATTTATTTTTGTTCGCCTTTACTTTATTTTTGTTCCTTTGTTTGTTTGTTTGTTTGTTTGTTTGTTTGTTTGTTCGTTAGTTCGTTTCAATCGCAGGACTTTATAGAAGCATCATAATACACGATCCCAGGAACGCAGAAAATATATATATATATATGCATAATCAATTTCAAAGAGAAATCGATCTTTTCAGTTTTTTTTCTTTTTTTCCTTTTTTTGTTTTCTTATTAATTAATTAATCAATTGATCAATTAATTAATCAACAATTAATGGATCCTTCGCATTCTCATGAAAGTAATCATCGATTACTGCTTTATAATAATTACTGGCATTATATACACTCGAACTTTATGGCAATAATTTCTACAAAAAATATTAGAATTTTTACCGTATCCTATTATTTACAATTTTTAATATATATATATATATATATATATATATATATATATCATATTTCTATCTTCACTTAGGAAGATGCGTTCAAATCGAACGCCTTCATGCTAAAATATAACGCTTTTGTTCGTCGAGCATGTAATCGTTTTGAGCTTCGGAACAAAATCATTTCTTGTACTCTTTTGCAATGTGCAGTTATATATATGTGTACATATATATATATATATGTATACACACACACACACATACATACACAATGTACGTTCGTACGTCTGTACGTCTGTATGTATGTACGTATACATAGATCAGAATAGAAACAATCTTCCATAATTATCGTACGCATAAGTTTCGTTAGATCGTCAATTAATCGATTTGATAGACTAGAATTTTAAAAACAAAAATAAGAAGAAGAAGAAGAAGTAGTAGTAGTAGTAGTAGTAGTAGAAATAGAAGTTGTTATATCTTCGTCGTTTAAAAATCCGACGATCTCAATGTTTATAATTATTTATTAATGAAAATTATTTCTTCGTAGCCAAACCGTCGGATATTTTGCCAAGTGTTTTTTTATTATTAACATTAGATAAAACTCTAGTAGAATTACTGTTTTTATTAGCTTCAAATTTTTGTTGTAACGATGCTACGTTCGATTTGCTATTGGCAGCTCTTTGAACAGGATTAATCGTCGAATCCGTTATAGTCTTTGTATCCTTTTGCGAATTATGTTTCGCAGTTGTAACAGTCGTAGTGGTTGTCGTATTTGTAATGGTTGTTGTTGCACTGACATTGGTTGGTAACATTTTCGAATTATTATCTCTTGATCCTGTCGATGAAAATGATTTAATAACATTAACGTTGCCCGACGGAGACTTTTTCTTCTCCGTTAAGCTGGCAGCCTTCGATACTATGCTCAAAGGTTTCATCGGCATCGCTGGTGCTTTCGTATTTCTCGAAAACGTCGATGACTTTTGTATTGCCGTTTTAGATGCTAATATTAATTTTGGATTATTACCTAAAACGTCCGGCGATTTCGTACCATTCTGATTCGAATTCGAACAGCTCGATACCAAATCCGGACTATTTAATTTTCCTGTATCATCCTTATTTGTATTAAAAGGCACACTTTTAACAGATGACGCGTTAACAATACTCGTATTAGTCGAATCTAATTTATTATCTATTATATTGTTCTGATGCTTATTAATATTTCCATTGATTTTACTTTGTATTGGCACGTGTCTGTTCTTCGTAGTTTTTTCTAAATTATGTTTGACGATATTATTGGTGGTACCATCGGGTGACAATTGATTGGACGATTTAGTAGAAATTATTTCAGAATTATTATGTTTGTTAGTTCTCGTAGAGGATTGGGCTTTGTTAAGACCCGGTGGCGTTTTAGTTCTACTCAATTGCAATGGTTTATTACCTAGAACAACACCTTTACCTTCCTCCTTCTTTTCGATCACTCTAGGGTTAGCCGATATTATAGAACTCGAACGATCGCCCGTTGTAACGAATGATTTTTCTATCGTACTCATACCAAGTTCCTTCGACATTTCTTCGTTAACGTTACAGTTACGAGTACTATTGCTGGCTGTTAACAACGGTGAAATCTCGTTGGTTTTTTTCTCATTCGATGTATCCTTCGTTAAACGTTCCTTGACCGATTGCGGTACGTTCAATGCACAAGGATTTAAATAACCAGAACTTGTCGTAGAACTCGACGAATTAAATTTTCCAGATGGTGAATTAGAATATACGCTACCAGGTGATTTGTAATGATTTGAGGAATTCATATAACCACCGAGAGAACTGTTCGATCCTAAATTATCGTTTACTTTGACAATATCGTCCTTTTCCTTTTTCTTTCGTGCCAACGTTGACGTCGAATATATCGAATCGAAATTTCTATTTGAGATTTCCGATACTATCTCGGATAAAAGGCCCATCGATTCCAAACCGGTATTCGTTAGATTGGTCGTAGGTTCAACGCGTTTAGGTGACTTGTATTCATTTTCCGTATCGTTCTTACGTACTTCGACATTCTTTTTTGTCTTCTCCGGGATGGACTCTTCGATAACTGCATAAATATTATCGTTCGACGGTGATTCCTCCATTATCTTTGTAAGTGACGGCGCGGATACTAAATTCATGCAATCATCATAAACGTCCTCGAGTGATTTCGCAGGTTCCACTTGTTGCTGAGTTTTAACAGGTGGATTTTGATAACCAGGTAAACCAGGTATCTTAATGTCGTTACAAGTTTCTTTATCGGAAGTAACAACGGCAGTAGGTGGCCCAGGAGGAGGTGAGGTTGGTCTGATACTTGCCGGTATACTGATTGGTCTTTTAACGATAGGTGCGGCAGCTTGACGCATAGAACCAAACGTATGTATCGCCGGTCTGGATGTAACTTTAGCGTCTCTCATTGATTGTGCTCGCATTACAACGTTCTTCTTTTCCGTCTCATTTATCGATACTACAGGAATAACGGGCGTTGGTATTTCAATTTCCTTTTGCGGTATCGGATTTGATATCTCCAAGTTTCTCAATATCTCTTTATCCATTACCTTATTCGCCTTGAGATGCTGATTTCTTGGCAAGGAATTTATACTTTTTTCATCCTTCTGAGATGACTGTGAATTCGATCTAGTAACGCTGGAAGTTGATCTTAACATAGACGCCAATCTGTTCAACGTACTACCCTTTTCTACTTTTTTTTGTTCTGCCTCGACAATCAAATTTGTCAAAGGAGTACTGTTCGGTCTTTGTGGTTTAGGAATAGAAAATAAAACAGGCGGTGGGGGTGCAGTTCTAGTTGGTATTTCAGGAGCCGCTCTTGTTGGCATCTTAGACGGTACAAGTTCAACGGATGTACAAGTTGTAGCTGCCAATACCGGACTACTTATCAATGGACGAGCGGTAGAGCCTGGATTCATTGGTGGCAATTTTGGTGCATTACTATTATTATCCTCAAAATTTTCCGTAGCCTCGACCGACGATTGATTTCTTATCGTATTAGTTTTCTGATTTCCCTTTATATTCGTCTTTATCGCTACAGTAGGAACGCTAGGCGGTGGCGGTGCTGATTTCGTTGGTTCAGACAATTTCGAATGATTTTGTATTGGCGTTATCGTGAACCCTTTAAATTGGCCAAAGAAGTTGTTGTTGTAACGCGCATCGACCTCCGTTTTAGGCAGGAGACTAGCGCATGCTGGATCCTGAGTGAGACCGCAGTCGATCGTTTCGATGTTACGTGGCATAGGACTAGAACGGTCGATCGTTTTTATCGACATTCCATTGTGGCACCGATTGTTCCTGAAATCGTAAGCAAATTTATAAGCGTAGGAATATTGGGATACCAAGCGTAGTAATACCGGACGAAATATTCGTTTTATCATTAGATCGTCCCACATTTTTTTTTTTTTTCCAATTAAAAAATCATTTTTTATTACTTCTGACGCGTGATAATAACGTACGTATACATTGTTATATTATCAATTTCTTTTTTACATCGAAAATTATTTTTTAAAATCGTTAAGGATACTTTCGATGGAAAAAAAAAAAACAAATAAATAAATAAAAGAATAAAAAAAAAATAAATAAATAAATAAAAAAAAAAAAAAAAAGGAAAAAGAAGAATAAACAACTCGTCAGAGAGATTGTTTGATCATTTGTCTCATGAATAATTATGGACGTCACGGACGAACACTATAATGCCAAGGTAAAAAAAAAAGCATGCAAAACCAAAGTCAAATAAAGGTGTGCACAAGATATCAAGCAACTTCTTCCTCGTTAAAAGAGAATATATCGCTTCTATTTCATTTCTCTTTCGCATGCGACGATCGACTAATAACAACTATATGCAGGAAAATGTTAGTAAGAGATTAGAGTGTTAATGGCAAGCGGTTGGAAGAAGGAAACCATAAAATTTTCTTTTCTTTTTACTTTTCTTTTCTTTTCTTATTCTTATTCTTATTCTTATTCTTTTCTTTTCTTTTCTTCTAAACATCAAAGTCTTACAAACAAACATGTGTCATCTCTGTGTATTCGGACAAAGTACGAAAAATTTTATTAATAATTTTAATTCGTACATATTTTAAATGAATTTCCACAAAATAACATTTTTATCGATTTATTAAAGAGATTACTTAAGGCACGAGTATGATGGTTTACATATATTTTCACGATAATGATCATGATCGAGATCGATCTAGATCTATATATATATATATAATCTAGATCTTCTCTCCTATTCCTCATTTTCTTTCTTTTTCTTCGATCGATTATTAACGATTATTAAATGAATTTTTCAAGATTAAAATTTTCTAATATTACAATCCAATAAAATATATATATGTTCATTTATATATATATTTTCGAAAAGGGATATATAATATATATATATAGCGATTAAAAACGCGATTAACCTATATAGATAATATTTCAAGAGACACTTATTTTATATTTGATAGTTTTTTTTTTTTTTTAGCGCTTCTCTCAAGTCTTATTATATATATATATATATGTGATATGTTAAATCATCATGTAATATGCAAAGCTACTTAGAGAGAGATAGAGAGATTCATACATGCTCATGCGGTCACATAAAATATTCACGCATGCTTCCTACGTAATGTTATCGCAATACTTAAAAACAATAATGTCAATATTTGTTCTAGTTGATAAATTACATTGAAAACTTGATCGAATTTAATAAAAATGATCTATTCTATTAAATTTTCGATGGAATTTAATATACTTTCAACAAAATAATGATCATAAATAATACTTATTGATCGTAATTTCGTTGTCTTATAACAATAAATTTTATGATAACGCATATATAAAAAATAAAAATTGAAATAAAAAAATTTTTAAAAATTGAAAAAAAAAATTATCAAAAGAAAAAAAAAAAAAAAAAAAAAGAAGAAAAGAGATTACAATATTTCGTTTTTCTTTCTTTCTTTTTTTTTCCTTTTCTTTTTCTTTTTTCTTTTCTCGAGCGATATTACACCTAAACTCTTCTCGCTATGATTTTAGGAACCACAGTTTTTTTTTCCTTTCTTTTTTCTTTTTTTTTCGAAATCAATGAAATACTTCTCTAATTCTAATACTGTTATTTGATATTTTATATCAAAAGAAAAATATTAATCTCATTGTATGTTCTTTTTATTTCTTTTTCTTTTTTTTCTTTTTTCTTTTTTTTCCTTTTCTTTTTTTGATTCGTAATTTCATTAAATTTAAGAATTAAATAGAAATCTATACGAAAGGAATTCGCTTAGTATATTGAAATAATAATATCCGATTAAATTAGTAATCAAGTTTTATCGACTTGATATCGAAATGTGACAATATAAATATAGAATATATGTCAGCCAATTATGTTCGATTATATTTGCTTGTCAGTTTAATGAAATTCATTCGATTTAATAGTTAAGTGTATCTTAATTTGAATATACACACATATATATATATATATATACATATATACATATATTTATATAAATATATATGTATATATATATATATATATATATATATATATATATATATGTATGCATGTATTATAGTATTATATTATAACTATTGATATATTATGGTCATACATACAGTATTAAATGAAAGATTAATTTAATATATTTTGGCATCGTATATTATTATAAATTAAGAAATTGCATATTCACCATCACCATGTCTTGTAATGCGAAGATCACAGCCCCGTGATTAGAATTGTCTGTGACTTTTGCACTAAAGCAAAACTTTTCCAAAGTCCAAGGAGAAAACAAAACGAAAAACAAAAAAAAAAAAAAAAAGAACAAAATACAAAAAGAGGACAAAAAAAAATAAAAAAGATACAAGCGAATACCAAAAAGGCTATCTTTTGCACGAAAACAAAATCTCATTTTACAGCCTTAAATTATTATAAACCTTTTTAAATATTATTATTATTATTATTATTATTATTATTATTATTATTATTATTACTATTATTATTATTATTTTTATTATTATTATTATTATTATTATTATTATAGATATATTTAATAGTAAGTAAATTTAAGCCCTTTAAGTTCATTACGTCGTACATAATCCAAAGATATTTTGCCGTCATTATAAAGATGTGATCGCGTATATACGGGTATAATATGTATTTGTATTATTTATGATTGAAAAAAAAGAGAGAGAAAAAAAAAAAAAGAAAAAACTGACATTTAAACCTTTGGTTTAAGACTTTGGGCTGGTGCTGGTGGCGGTGGCGGTTTTTTATTATAAAAAGGCATTGGCGATTTTAAATTATCTTTTCTTTCGGGCAACATAACGGAGCTTGATTTCGGCGTGACGTCGGCCATTGTTTCGCATGAATTATCATCCAAATTGTCAAACTTCAAATCCGTATTTACCGTCAAATTTTTAACATTCCTCGATTGTCTCTTTTGCAATTGTTGTATACGTTCGGCTATCCTCGAGCCCATTTCCGTACGAACCGGAACGCTTTCTTTTTCCTGAGGATTATTTCTCAGATTGATCGTTATCAATGGTTTATCTACCGTAGAATCATTTTTTCTATTAACAATCTCAACTCTACAAGGTGATATCGACTTGTCGAAATCAATTTTATCGCTACAATTAATGGCATCCGGATTGGTCGTAGATATTAAATCTGTTTTCGTTATTTGAAGTTTCTCCTTTGACGGAAAATTATTAGTAATAACGAATATTCTCTTTGAATCCTCAGAATCACGTTGCCTGGTCGTAAAGAAACCGATAGCCTTTTCGTAGATCTCCTTACCGGCAGTGCAATTCAATTGCGGCACTCTAATATCGCGTGATGCAAAAGCATGCGTCTTACGTTTTTGTTTTAAACGGTCGACACTAAATACGTACGTAGATAATGCACCCTTTTTCCAATGCTGACCGGAATTTCTCACGTACCAAACTCCAATTGATGAGAGAGCCAACATCGGTACCACACCCAAGAAGATTATGTAAATGGCTGTTATGAAATCGTTTCTCGCTGAAATTAACGAAAAACATATATGTACTGTATAATACGTATAATATGTACCCTAATCGACACATATATACATACATATATATATATATATATCCTATTAAATGATAATGATTGCATTTACATGTACATTTATGATGTATAATAAAAAAAGCTCACCATTTGGATCTTCGGCTGGACCACTATCCTCTGAACCACCTACACCTGGTTGAGTACAATCAGGTGGTCTGAATCCATGATTACAATGACAATGACCAAGACTATTACAAACTCCATTACCACTACAATTATTAGGACATGCTTTGCCACCAGATACCGACGCTCTTAAGTCAGCGATTGGCATACATTTTTGATTGACACACATCTTAAATAAATATATATACATATATATATATATAGTTAATTATTATTTAAAATAATTGTTTAAATTATATCAATTCAAAAGAAAACGTATTCATGGATAAAACTATGAATTAAGTTGATGTCATACTTTTTCAGGTGCACATTTAGCGCCATCGGGTGCCAAGCCAGGATCAACTTGATTCAATCCCAAGTCAACAATGGCCGAACGACAAGGTATTATCTTTCCACCGTTGTTGATAAATGAATGACTTAATATCGCTACTGATTCCATACCAAATTCCAATCTTTCGTTCAAATGTTTGCAATGTAACATTCCGCATAATAAATTTCTACAACGTGAGAAATTAGAATTAATTTGATGTAAATAAAATTGAGATGTTTTAAAACAGAAACATAATATAAAATTGACGTCTATGACTTTTAACGTCTATGATGCTTCAACTTACTGATCGCTGCATTTTACGTAACTAGATTCTATCCTGTTATAACCGCAGTTTCCAAGTTTCGAACCTTTATTATTCATGTCGTAACATTGAGCATCTGAGGAAGCACCTGTGGGACCCCAAAGTAATTTACATTGGTCATTGTGAGTTCTGCAAGAGCCTTGATAACAGTAAGCCTTTCCCATGCTACAAGATTCCCCGTCCATCTTGAAGACATCTACAGGACAATATTCACTCTGACCGGTACAATACTCCGGCAAATCGCATTCGTGTTCGGCACTTCGGCATTCTGTACCAGCCAATTTGGGTCGGCATGTTTTTAGGTCGCAACATTCTCCAGTAGCACAGCTGGCATTGTTATATAGCATACAAGTAGTCGCGTTGCAGCAAGGATTGTCACATTTCTCTTCAAGACCGCAATCGCATTGTTCACCAGGTTCGACAAATCCATTACCGCAAATAGGACTGTCAAAAAGTTTTTGAGGCTTATTCCTAAGGCAATAATCCATACCATGCTCAAATGCTAATGCCAAATGTTCCAAGGAACAAGTTGACCAATGTGACGGACCAAAGGATCCACTTGATGGCGCCATGATACATCTTAAATGAACGATAATAAACTTAATGCATTTTAATGTTTCAATGTATATATAGATATACATATGTATATATATATATGACAGAAATGTGTGAACTTTATAGGCATACACGTCACTTACTTATCCTCCGGACATGAACAATCAGCAGTATCGTGTTCCATGCCAAAGTTATGTCCCATTTCATGAGCTACTGTGGCGGCTACCAAGCCTACTACATTAGAGTGATCCATGGAAACGCCGCCAGAAAATTCGTAAGTACATATCGGCCCCTTTAATGCCTTGCCAACGACACCACCTTCAAATTGTATTCGCCTAAAATCGTAAAAATTTTATAGTAAAATTTATGATCATATATATTTGATCATATATACACACACACATACATATATATATATATATATATAAACTTAATTAAAGAATAAAATTAAATAAATTATAAAATAAATAAATATTTAATAATAATTAATAATTAGTAATATAAAGGAAACAATATATCAATTTTATAATAATTAAACATTTAAATTATAATATAAAAAAAATTAAAATTTAAATAATAAAAATTATTAATTTTATAACATTTAAATAATTTAAAATGCTAATATACTCATATATATATATGTACATCATTAAAATATAAAGCACGTCTATAAACTTCTATATAATATACTCACGTTAATAATTGTGCATTGTCGTTCGGCATATCATGTACTAATTTTTCTCTGCGATATCGTAAGAAATTCGAAAGCGTGTTGTCGCCATTCGGAGAGAGAGCTATTTCGTCAGCTTCAGACCACACTTGAACGCCCACTAATGCGACGAATATATTAAGTGGCATGAATAGCTAAAAAAGAAAAAAAAATAATATAATATAATACAAAAATAACAAATTATCTTAAACTTTTGATAAATTCCTGAGAAAATATTATATTTTCATTTCTATTTATTTAATCAGTATTTTTATTAATTAATAGAAAGTATTTTGTAAAATAAATGGTCAGTATTCATATAGTATATATATATATATATGTATATATATTTATATTTATAGTATATATACTATGATAATTAAATAATAAAAAATAAGTAAATAATAAATAAATAATTAATAAATAATTAAATCTCAGGATTTATACATTTGGATTATGTCTACATTTATTACAAATATTGATTATCTTATTTAAAATACTGAACAATTATTTATAACATATTTATTAATATTTTACTGAAAATACTGACTATTTATTTATTTTAAATATTAATTAAAAAATATTTTTAAAAAGTATTCACCCAATGAATAGAGGGAACTCTTATTTACTTTACTTTTTCGTTCTTTATGTTCTTTTTAAACATTGCAAGATAAACAACGATAAATATTTCGTTTATAAAAATAATCGAGAAAATCAAATTGTATTATTTCATTTTATTAAAGAATTATTAATTTTAAGAAATCATTTAATATCTAACTGATATCTAATTAATATATATATATCGTTATTCATTAGCAATGTATTTGATAATTATAATTATTACGATTAAATATACTAACGGCATTAACGATATTGGCGATATTTTTACAATGATGATGAACCTTATCCAAATTCTCATCAAGTGCTATATATCCTTTCTTGTCAATGACTAAAACAAGCTCGACATAACGTGATTGTCTATTAGCATTGTAAGGACCTCTGATAGATTCGGTTGCCCTTTTATGCTGTAAAATATGATTAATAATAATTAACGATTAATAATTACAACATTATTGTTAAATACTCCAAATTTAACTCTCTCTCTCTCTCTCTTTTTTTTTATTTATCAATTGTACATAACAACGCGTATCAATCATTTTTCTTACCCTTGATAATCTCTTTGTTTCACGACGTTGACGATCAAGAACGTTGTGCGGTGTTCCCTCGTAACCTGTAACAAAAAATGAACGATGAAAAGACGCAAAAAAGAAAAAGAAGAAAAGAAAAAAAAAAGAAAAAAAAAAAAAAGAAAAAAAAAAAGAAAAAAAAAAAGAAAATGAACTTTGAGATTGTTCCACGATATACATAAATATTTAGAAATATATAAAGAGTTATAAGGACAAAGAGAACAACTAAACGATCAGGACAAAATCTTGCTCCCACATTCGTTAAAACGTTTAAGGAGAAACCAGTATTTCTTGTCGTTCCAAGCTATACTTCTTCTGTCCGCAAAAGGAGCGTCCATCGGATTCTTCCAAGGACACAGTTTCTAGAGGAAGACGAAGCACTCCTAAGGGAGTCGTCTTGATTCTGATATCTGATATAAAGAGATCTATATATATATATATATATATACCATGTGATCAATTATTCCAAGTTGACAATAAGGTATTCGCGGATTGGCTAATATAGAAATAGAAATAATTTATTATTGAGAATTATCGAGATAAAGTATGACCATTGCTTCTTTGTTTCTGTTCGTTTCAATCATTTTTATTTATTTATATCTCTTTCTCGTTTCTTTCACAATATGTCCGTTCGATTATTGTTTTTTTCATTTTTATTGACTTGCCATTTCTTTACTTCGGTTTATTTCGAAAAAAAAAAGGAAAAAAAAAGAGAGAAAAAAAAAGAAAAAAAAAAAAAGAAAGAAAAAAAAACATTTATCATTAATCATTAGTACTATAGTTTATGTTTATATATTATTTTGTTATTATTTATATATGATTATCATTGTATAATTTTGTCCATCTATATGTCATTTTCTATTTTTCAACTTGTCTCTTCGAATTTTAGTTCGTTTATATCTCTCATAGTCTATTTATTTCTTTAAAGCTGACGTATTTTTATTATAGCCTGTTATAACACATTTGTTTGTATCTTTTCTTTTATTAGATTCATCTGTCCGTTTAACTGTCTCTTCGAATTCTCTCTGCTATTCTACATAAAAAAAAAAAAGAAAAAAAAATTACTATAATTATTACTAGATATATCTTTCTCTATCGATTTATCTATTCGCCGTTATTTTCTATTTATCGATCTATCTTTACGTCTCCATTTATCAGTTCGTCTGTTTATATATATATATATATATATATATATATATATATATATATATACCTTTTATACATATATATTATTTGTTTATATATAGTCTGTGTTTATCTACGTCATTATTATTATTATAATCTATTTATTCGTATATATACTTTTTTTCCTTCTGTTTCTTCTTCTTTTTCTTCTTCTTCTTCTTCTTCTTCTTCTTCTTAATATCTATGTATTTTATCATTGTCCCTTTTTGTTTATTATGCCAAAAAAAAAAAAAAAAGAAATAAAAAAAAATACGTACTATTATTGATCATATTTTTCTACATCTATCAGTCTACTATTTTTCTATTTGTCCATCTTTATCTCTATTTTTCTATTTGCCTTTCCTTTATCTCTATTTTTCTTTCATTTTAATCCGTTTATCTGTCTTTCTGTATTTTTGTTTTGTTCTCTCTATTTCTCTTTGTTTGTCTGCATTTTTTATTTCATTAATCCGTTAGTCTGTCTGTCTCTATGTTTGATTATCTCTTTCCGTTAGTTTGTTTCTTTTCCTTTCTTCAATTCAAGCCAAGTTATTCAGAAAACTATCAACATTGGGAATGACAAAAAATTAATGAAATGTAATACACGAATCCGATGATCGTGTTTTTTATTTCACGAAAAAAAAAAGAAAAAAAAAATGTTTAATTTCATAAAACAATTTTTATATCGTACAACATGTTAAAACTATCAGAGTCGTGGTTCCATTTTAAATTTATAATTATTTTGCTGAGAACTTCTTTCGAATAACTTATTGCAACTTAAATTGCTTCTTTCGGATTACTTTTTAGTTCGGCCGAATGTTTTAAAAGAAATAAAAAAAAAAAAAAAAAGAAAAAAAAAAAGAGAAGAAAAAAAAGTTATTAATAAGAAAATATCGCGAACAATGGCGACGAAAATTAACACATTCTCCCCTCGCTCATCCCCCACCAGAAAAAAAAGAAAAAAAAAAAAAAAAAAAAAAAAAAGAAACCGAAAAAAATCTACAAATTAAATTTATCCTCACTCAATTTCAGTTCATTGATGTTTGATAATTTTCTACGTAACTTTGGGGCCCATTTAATATCGGACCCATCAATCATTTCATTGAAATATTAAACGACATAAAACAAAGTTCACAGAGTTTATTATAGAGTTTAGTATGCTTTGTATAATGTCGTAGCCATAATTTTCGTATAAATTCTTTTCTCCTTTATTTCTTAATTTGTCTTTATTTCAAAATAAATATCAATTATTATTAATTATCTTTTTTTTATTTTGATTTATCCGTTTATCCGTTATTATCCATTTGTATAGATACTTTGTTCTTTATTTAAATAATATCTTAAGATATATCCTATGATGAAGGCTTGTCTCTACTTACAAAATTATAAATTATTATCAATTATAGTTTTTCATTAATTTATTTGTCTATCTCTCATTTTCTACTTTTTCTATCTTTTTTTTTTTTCTGATCTTCTGTTCTCAAATTTCTCTCCCCCTCTCTCCCCCTTCTCTCTCCACAATCTTTTTACCTGTTCTTTTTTTTTTTCGTTTTGTTAACTTACTTCTTTCTTTTTGATTACTATTTACAATAAAATCTATTTACAATACAATACAAATTGTTGTTAATTATAGTAATTTTTTTTTTTTTATTTTTATTGATCTGTTTATTTATCTGTCAGTTAAAAATTTACTCTCCATTTTTCATCACATTTTTCTCTTTTTTCTCTAGTTTTATTTTTCTCTAAATTTATTTATATTCGTTTACTTTTCATTCTTTTAATTATATCCTCCTATGCTCTGTCCATTTACCTGTGTATTTCTTCTCTTTCTCTCGTCAAAGTTATGTCGTTTAATTAGGTTCAGGCGACGAGCGAATACTTTCTAACGGAAATGCAAGTCTGACTTTAAGAGACAACGCGTTATCGTTACAGTTAGTAGGTCGATTATTATTCTATATAATTTTTAACATATTAATTGTTGAATCATTTTTACATCGATCAATCAATACTTACATTCAAATATAATATTTTTAACAATTTTATTAATACATTATTAATTTATAAATCTTATTAATTTATCAAGCATTAATTAAAAAGAATGTACAGAAAATAATATATGACAGATTTGAAAAACGAATTAACATTATAATAAATATTTTGAGATAATCTTTTACGAAAGTGAATTAATTGTTAATAATAATTAATTCATATTATTACATAAATATTGTAACATAATTAACGTATGATCGTACAAAAATATTCTGAATTTTAATATGCCAAAAGTAAGATGTTAAAAAATTATATATAATATAATTCTTTATTAATAGAAATGTTTATGGATGTACAAAACGAAGGAACAAAAATTTTGTTCAATATCCTTCGAAAGAAAATTTTTTATTAAAAGTTAAAAATATTCGTTAATTTTATCTGAACACAAAACAAAAACAAAAACAAAAAACTGTAACGTAACGTAACAAAACGATACAAAATAAAAAAAAAAAAAAAAAACATCGTTAGTACTGTCGTTGATTGAAGAGTGGATAAGAATTAAATCTCAAATTAATATTCAGTGATTCAGTTTCAAGGAAAAATTAGAACAAGATAAATGCAGAATTTACCACAACTTTTATTGGCGACGAGGTCATTCTGTTTATAGAGATAATGATTAGAGTCCAAGGTATCCTTTTCCGGATGAACGTGATGAAGATTTTCACCGTCGAAGATGACACCATGTAAACCTTTACAAGTTGACAAGGCTACCCATGATCCAGGAACGTCACGTACGCTACCTTGGTAGTGACAGAGTTCCTAGAAATTAACATGAATTAAATTATAACGACAAAACAAACATGATTTTTCATTAATTTTTATCTTTAGTTATACCTATGGGATATAGGAAATCTCAGACCGACTTTGAGCTCAATTTATTACAAATAAATATATTTTTTATTTACAAAAAAATTTTCTATTTACAAAAAAATATTTGTAAATAGGACTTATACTGTCATTTATCAATAATTGAGATATGTATTTTTATATGTCGAGTATTATCCGTATTGTGTCAGTCATTGAATTGTAATCGAATACAATTAAAGTTTGTAAAATCTGAAATGTGCCATATATAAACCCCGTATGCACAGTAATGTTCTTTTTGCATTAATTTTAAATTGTTGAATTATTGGATTATTGAACATTTTTAATCCATTCATACTCTAAATAATATGATCTTATATATAAGTGTGATAAAAAATTATCTTCTAATCTTATATCTCATTTTCGTACTCGAAATCAAATACGATCAATGAGAATGAAAAACCAATTATTATAAAGTACTATAATGACTTTTTTGATCAGTTAGATCAGTCATTTACTATTAATAAAAAAATTAAGCACTGGCCTATAAAAATTTTCTATCGAAATATATTGAATATGGCTACTATAAATGCCAGAATATTATTGAAATGTAAAAAATGCTGATAAAAATGTTAAATGTGTTATCTAAAATTCTGAAAGAATTCTTTAATCTTTGTAAGAATTATTTATTAGAATCTTTTTTAACATACCATTCTTTCGAATTGATTTATTATTAAGAATTAAAGGCATACTCGAATTTAATCCTGAACAGATGAATTCTTTAAATCGTTATAGTATGTGAAAAGTATCATCAATGTATGATTTGTTCACGTTTAAAAGACAAAAAAATTAAAATTGTATGTTCCTCATGTATTCAGTTCATTGATCATGAATTTATTATTTTTTTTTATTATATTATTTTCTTTTTTTTATTTATTATTTTCTTTTTTTTTTAGTTGTAATTTTGTACTTTTATAGCTCTTTATAGATTTTTAGAGACTGCATATATGGTAATTTCAATGAAACGAATGGAAAAAAAAAATAGAAAATAATGAAGATTGATGGAATAATCGAGTACTTTTTTTCCCTTCTCAAAATAAATATACTTTTTTGTAACGACCATATTTTTTTTCTTCTGAAAAAGACTTGTCTGAAAGATGATTATATCAATAGATTTTTTTTTTTTAAATATTGAAAATTATAAAGGACATTCGGTTTTTAACGGGACAAAAAAAAAAGAAAATAATGGATTCAATTTTTGCGCATTGCATGATTCGTGCATTTTTTTTTCTTTGTTATTTTTTTTTTTTTTTTGTAATGTCAGAATTAAAAATGCATTTTCAAATCTATTAGATTATTATTTCTGAGGCTTCAAAGAATATCCAATATTTTTTTTTTTTTTTTTTTTCGTATCAAAATGATTCATTTTGTATAAATGACAGCTGTTCAAAATGCACAATATGAAATTATTTTGAGATTAATTAAAACAACGTCTTATTACGTATGCGTCAAAACACAATAATTTTTGGTTTATTATTAATTAAACTATATGAATTAATTATGAATTGCCGATTATAAGTTTAGATTATTCGTAAGTTCCTTACAAGAATTATCGAATCAACAATTTCTTTAAAATTTCTTTGAAATTATCCAACCTAATTAAAATATTACAATACTTTATCATTAGAATATTCGATTTCGATTGTATCATTATTGTATCAATATTGTTTCTTTTCTAATTATACGATATCATCTTTTTTTTTCTATTTAGAAACATTTAACGCAAACATACTCGATACGCGTTAACTATCTCTATTTCAGATTTAATATGAATTTCATCAATGTAAATACTCTGGTTACTAGTATTTTATTTTCTTTTGAAATTTAATCTATCTTTTTTAGCTTTTTTTTTTTTTTATTTTATTCTCACTCACACATACACACACTCACTCACTCTCTCTCTCTCTCTCTCTCTCTCTCTCTCTTTCTCTCTCTCTTTCTATCTCTATCTCTATCAATCTATCTATCTATCTATCTATCCGTGCGCGTCATGTATTTTTGAATAAAATTTATCTATCTATCTATCTATCTGTGTCATGTATTTTCAAAAAGAAATACAATTTTACACTTTTAACAAATATGGAGTATGCAATGTCGTTAAAAACGTGAATGAGAGTATACCATGGTCCGTCGTCCATTGATTTCATGCTGTACGCAATTGAATTAATTAGCTTGTATTTGTATAGTTAAAACACACACACACACACACACACATATATATCCTTTGGCATCTCTTACATTAATGCACATTCGTATTCTGTTATCAAATTACGCTAATATTGCATAGTAAATTCGATAACCTATTAAATTTAAAAATTGCAAATTTTTGACCATTGACTGTTCGATTTGACATTTAATAGCATGGAAGGCAAAGAGGGAGGAGGTGGAGATAGAAAAGAGAAATAAAAAGTATGATCGAATTTGAACGAATACTTTTTTTTTTTTTTTTTTTTGTAATGATCGGATTCAATAGGATTTATATTACTCGTTCGACTTTCATTTCGAAATGACTTTTTTCCCTTTTTGTGGGGTTTTTTTTCCCCTTTCTTTTTTTCTGCGAGATCAAACGAATTACTCAATCTTTGAAACATTTTAACAAACTTTTAATGATGATTTTATACAATCGAAGTATTTATAACTCTTTGGTCATATTATCTGATAAAAAAAAAAAAAAAAAAAAAAAAAAAAGAAAAAAGTGGATCAATAATTTTATTATTCAATATAATATCTCGCACATTCACTCGACTACATGGAACGTATTGCAGAATGTTCGATATATCATTCAGGAAAAATTTTATTAACGGCACGGCGATCGCCAGTATTCAATATTTTCAATATTTAACGAAATAAACGTTGTTTTTCAATCTGAAATAGAAATACATTTTATCGGGAATTTTTTGAATCGAAATTAAAAAAAAAAAAAAGAAAAAAAAAATCACTTAGATTTCATGATAGATAATTTTGGTGCAAACTTTTCTTCGTCGAGACACTCCGTATATAGTAACAATATCATAGTGATTATATAGAGATATAGAGACTATATTATCGACCAATCGTTGTCTTCTTTTCTAACATAATGAACACATTGATAACATAGTGATGTGTAAGTGAGCTCACTCTCGATCGATTCTAACTGGCGCCATAAATATATCTGTGCTACTAAAAGAAATAATCGATAAGCATTATGCAAGCATATAAATATATATGCATGTATGTGTGTACATATGTACATTAATATATTCCTCATAAAATTAATTCATATCTGATTTAAACAGTAAACAATACAAACAATAAAATACAAGAATAAACTTTGTTAATAGTTAATTAGAATCATACAATCGATTGACGCAATAAATTATCATAGGATATAAATAATTATCGAAAATAATAAATATTGGATTTAGGAATTATTATTGTCGATAATAGTTTCACAATATACGAAAAAATATTTATTCGAGTTATATTAAGAAATTAATAGTTTTCTATTTAGCAAGACACTTGATTGGAAATGAAAGAATAAGAAATGAAAAATAAAAACAAAAGAAAATAACTAAACTTAACCTTAAAAAATATCGAGTATCGGTTTATATCACAAGATGGCCGAATTGACGCCATTTACAAAAAGGCGTCTAACATTTCTCTTATCTTTCGACAAAAATAAAATATAATAAATGTCGATCGATAAAAAAAAGATATAATTGTAATCGTTAGAAATTTTCAACTGTTATTGATCAAATGTAATTTGTTTTTTTTAAACTTCTTAAATGTTAAATACAAATATGAACTTACCACCTTCGACGGTGTATGAACTTTGTATGTCCCCTTATGCTGATAACGTTGTTGATAACCAACTGGTATCAGATCGGTATTCAATCGTAAATCTAATACACGTTTGACACCGTCCACTTCGAAGCCGACCGTTAACACATCTGCGTGATCGATGTCCTGAAAGATAAAAAAAAAAAAAAATAAGAAATAAAGAAAAAAAAACAAGAAAAGAAAATTAATTGTAAACAATCCATCGAACATTTTATAATAGAGTACAGGATTAATTTTGATGTAGAAACAAAAAAAAAACAAATAAAAAAATAAAAAAAAATTTCGATTTTCGAATAATACTTTTAACGTTTATTATTGTATATTTGTATATAAAATATGTTTTATTGGTCGCATATCATAACTTATTTAATCTCTAATTAAACTTTGGATATCAATTGTAATTATTATATTAAAAGTATATTTTGGAATAAATTTTAATCATAATTATTTTTAAACAAAAAAATGTTCAGTATATGTCTTGTATAATTATACTTTATATTAACAATAAGTTATATTAGTATATTATAGTATTGTATTATTATAGTACAGTACGATATAATATACTAAAAAACATTATAATATAATATAGTATAGTATAGTATAGTATAGTATAGTATAATATACTACACAATAGTATAGTATAGTATAGCACAGTATAATAGTATAATTACAATAACTGAATTAAGTTACATAAATACTCTTAAATCCTTTATTAAAGTATATTACAATTATAATAAAAATACTTATTATATTATTCTAATTTATTTCTTATACAATTACTATACTATAATTATACTATATACAGATAACATTAATCTTCATATATATACAACTAATTAATCTTCTATCGAGAAAAGAAAAAAAGATTTGAAAAAAAGAGAATCCATTTGTTCTTCCTTCGTCTCAGTATAACTTGAATTGTTTTGAATCCATTCGAAAAATCGGAAAACAAAGAGTGAATGAATATAAAAGAAAAATCGAAAATGCGAATGAAATGAAGGATAGAATTGGCCTTTCTTCGCGGTACAGACTCTTTCAATGTCCACTCTCACACGATAATCTATTCTTGGCTCTGTACCAATGCAAGAATCGTTTTCGATATTCCCGGCGTTCCTCTTTCGTGACCTGCACATCGTATCTCATGGAAAGGGACAGGTTGGGGATGGAGTAAGGTGGAAGGGGGAAAGGATTGAGGTGGGGAATGGTAGGTAGTCAATACCGGGGGGGGGAGGAGGAGGGGGGGATAAAATCTATCGAGAGGTCAACCACGTTCTACGAATCCATAGATTCTTTCTTATAAGAAAGCATTTCCCGAACAATGAAAAATTTTTCTTTCCTTTTTTTCTTGTTTCTTTTTTGTTTTTTTTTTGTTTTTTTTTTTTCCCCAAAATAAAATCTATGTGCGGGAGACAAAATAATTATTGGACTTGATGTGTTTTGTTTTATTTTTATCGACATGTCGATCGTTGAATTAATTTTGATCAGACCAATGTATTAATATTCTGTAGTTTTTATTTAATATTTTTTATGTATTTACATAACTACTTTTTTTTTTCTTTCTTTTTTTTTTGAATTGAAAATTTTGTTTGCCTTTTGATTTGAACTGTGTGTGTGTGCATATATATATATATATATATATATATATATATATATAAATTTTAACTTGTTTTATTTATTAAATTAAACATAATAATAAATAATCGAATTTTACGACTATAATTAATAAATAAAATAATAATAATAATTTATAAGAAAAAAAAAAAAAATAATAAAATCATGAACAGAAATTTCTAGTAAACTCATTAGTTTCTAACCGGCAATAAATTAGAATAACAATAATTGGCCACACTTTTTTCCGATAAAAAAGCAAAGTAATCGAACTTTTTAAAATGTAACCATAGTAATTTTTTTTTTAATAATAATGTAGAGAATGGCAAAACAAACTTAATTAGTACAGACAATATTATATTAAGTTATATTACACTACAAAATAAACAATTTTAAATCTGATAAAAATATAATTTTTCTTTATACAAGATGATCGCTAGAAACGTAAATAAACTTGTAGAAACACATTAATGGTAATGCGCCGGAAATCTTACAGTCAAGGAGATTGGAAACAATAGACTCCTGCTTTTGTGACTGACCAACCAAGTCGGCGTTAGTAGAATTCTATTTTATCGATCGTTAATAGTATATTTCTAGAGAGGACAGGAAACGACATAACGGGATCAAACAGGATCGTATAGAATAGGACTGACTGAATAGGACCGAATACGGTATAATAAGAACGTACAGGACCGAATAGGATCAAATAAAACCGAATACAATCGAATATAATTTAATGGAACAGAATAGAACCGAAAAAGGTTTAACAGAACCGGATAAGATTGAAAAGGATCAAATAAAATCTAATAGGATCGATTAGGATCGTCGAATAGGAAGAAATAAAATTTAAAAGAACAGAATAGGACAGAATAGAACCGAATAGATCTGTATAAAATCAAATAGAATCGAATAGGATCCAATAGGACCGAATAGAATTGGATAGGACCGAATAAGACCGAATAAGACCGAATAAGACCGAACAAGACCGAACAGGAACGAATAAGACCGAATAAGACCGAACAGGACCGAACAATACCGCATACAATCAAATAAGAATCGAACAAGACTGAACAGGATTGAATCGGATCGAATAGAATCGAATACGATCGAATAGGATCGAATAAAATGGAATAAATTCGAATAGAATCAAATATAATTGCATAGGATTAAATACGGTCAAATAGGAACGAATATGATTGAATTTGACCGAACAGCGCCAAATAGAATCGAATAGCAGCGAATAGAACCGAATACAACCGAATACAACCGAATACAACCGAATATGAACGTATACAGTCGAATAAGATCGAACAGAGCCGAATCGAATCAAATAGAAACGTACAGATCAAATCATTCATCCTTTTCGTAAGAATCAAATATTTTTGTAAATTTAAATAATTTAGAAATCATGTATAAACGATATTTTGAGAAACGATCGATATGATACAACAATTTTTATCGCTATAAGTTTAATATAAAGATCAAAACTAAAGAGATATTATTTTATTTTGTTTTTTTGTTTTTTCTTTTTCAAAGTAAATGCGCCTTAAGAATCATTACTGAACAATGAAACATAACGAATAAATACTTAATTTGATTATCCATTTTTTACTTTTACGAGTAACATTACGTTATGAAAAAAATATAACTATACATATATATAATATAAGTACAACATAACATAATATATTTATAATGTTTTTTATGTATTAATATATTAATATATAATAATATTAATATAATATATATATATATGTGGTTGTGTGTATGTGTACGTGCGCGTATGTGTTTTTCTATCTCTTGTTACAATTGGAAAAAAATATCAACGCTAAAGCATTAAAAATGGAAGTAATGCAAAGCAGAACAAGTTGTTTGCTAGTTTTATATAACTCTTTCCTTTTCTCGCGAAGTTTTCATCAACGATAAAAAGTGTACTATCCATAAAGTTTCATCTCAACTGCGGTAAAATAAAGAGAGAAAGAAAAAGAGAGAAAGAAAAAAAGAGAAAGAAAAAGAGAGAGAGAGAGGGAGAGAGAGAGAGAGAGACAGAGAGAGACAGAGAGAGAGAGAGAGAGACAGAGAGAGATAGAGAGAGAGCACACGACGACATACGTTAAATATACATATACATGTGTTTCCTTCGTTTTCTGCAATGGCATTTCAACGATGATATTACTCTTTATGAAATCAGTTTTTACAGTAGAAAAAAGTAGCTCTTTCATGTGAACCTCACAATTGTACATCCTGTAATCGACAACGAAACGACCACAACAGAATAACAACGGTGACAATAATGATAGTAGGTGTTTGCTTACGTGCGTAACTGCAAAATTTATGTCATCATGATGCATCGTTCATCAAAATCCAAACGAATTTATATTAATTACACGAAATATAATTCAATGTTTTTTTTTTTTTTTTTTTTTATACGTATATCATTATACGATATTTACATATTTGATGTAAAAAAAAAAAAATAAATACATAAATAAATAAATAAAATTTTCGAAAGTGTTTGATCTGCCATTGTAATGAAATTACTTTTAACTATAATGAAATTATTTCTTTTGAGTTTTCTCCTTTTTTCTTTCCTTTTTTTACAGTATTTTTAAATAAAAAAAGTTGTCGATCTTCGCGATCAAACCTGATGGAAAATATTAAAATTAATATATCAGGCAAACGAAAAAAGTTGCTATATTTTTCAACTTAGAGAGAGAGAGAGAGAGAGAGAGAGAGAGAGAGAGAGAGAGAGAGAGAGAGAGAGAGAGAGAGAGGCAGTTTAAAATTATTTTTGAATATAATTACGTTTTTAAAAATTCGTGTTGAATAAAGGAAATTTAATTGAATAAAACTAACAGAGTATATCATTAGAATATATTAGAATATATTAAGTCTCTTGAAAAGTTTTGACCGTCTCTCTTATTATACGCGATTTTTTTTTTTTTTTTTTTTTTTTTCAATAAAAAAAAAGAGACTTCATTTTTTCTAAGTTATTTTTCAAATATTTTAGAAGAAAAATTTTCATCGATATATTTAACAGAACTTTTCTCATTAAGACGTTTCTATTCAAATTATTGTCATTATTAGAGATATCGAAAATTATTGTCAACGATTTGTGTTATATAAAATTTACGTATTTGTAAATAAATTCTTTTTTTTTTTTTTTTTTTTTTTGTTTTAGAAACGAATTTCTTCTCTTCTTTTCCTTTTTCCTCTTTTTACACACTTTCCGATACGTCTAATACATTTTTCATTTTATACACATTTCGTCCAATAAAGTAACGACAGAAACGAGGCCGATGGATATCGCTTGAAATCAATTAAATTTCTAATTAAATCGCAAAGGACTATAAATACTGGTCGTAGTATTTGACGACGAATCGATATTTTAGATGGATGAAATTATTATTCCACGGAATTAATAGTAACAAAGTTTGATCCGAGTTGTATCAAATACGTATTAATACGTAATTTCATTCAATCAAACAAATACAATAAACGATATAATAATAATAATA